AAAAAAAAAAAAAAAAAAAATATGCTTTCATGTTTGTGTTAATTGGTGTCGTGGTTATTCTTGTTTAGGTTCTGTGTTTCTATATGACGTTGATGTTTTATTTAAAGTTTTATATGGTTGATTGCATGTTGTTGGAGTGAATGGCTTTGTACATTTTCAGTTCCATTCAGTTCCATAACAATCTCTAAATTTGTTACCTTAAGAATCTCCAATTTTTTTGGATGTCTTACTTAAATTTGTTTCCTAAAGAAAATAAGTTGTTTGATAAGTCATATATTATTTCAACTAAAGAATATAAACGACCAAAAAAGTGGAAAAGACGTTTGGATTTAGTTCCTAAAACAATGTAATTTATTACTAGTACAACGTCCGTGTATTACACGGGTGCTTGTTAAAAAATTATTCTTAAATTTTAAAATTAATGAGAAAACTATATTAAATTTAGTTTACTTTTTTACAAAAAAATATATTACTATATATTTTAGAATGATATGTGCTACTATTATAATATTTTTTAATATAATAAATAAAATATTTATTATAATACTCTAAAATAATTTATTAAATAATTTGATATTATTTTAATAAATAATTTACTAATATTATATTATAAAATATTATAATTGAATAAGGTTTTTTTTATTTTACTATTTTCATTTAATATTTTTATTTATTTTTATTTATTATTTTGTAATTAGTTATTTAATTTATTCTTTTATTTATTTTATTTTACTTTACCATTTTTATTTATTTTATAATATTATATTATTTTTATTTTATTTTAATAGGTGTACTTTAATCTATTTTATTTTTTAATTTAATTTTATCATTATTATTTTTCATTTTAAAATTTATATAACTAGTTTTATTTTAATAAAATAGGTAATATATAAATATATATAGATGTCATTTAATTTTAAAGCATTCTACTATAATAAAATTTATCTTACTTTATTTTTATTTATTTTTCATTTAATATACAATTTATTTAAATGTATTTTAATTATTATTAGTTTATATCTTATTAATATTATTAAATATAATTTACATTATCTTTTAAATTTAATTTGATTATTGCATGTTATGTCTTTATATATATAACACTACTAACGTAGACATACAACTTGTATGGTGTAGTTTTTACTACATCAATATACAACCTTGAGGTTTTGAGTTCGAATCCCAACAACGATTTATTTTTTATCATCAGTCATGTCAGCAGAAATTATCACATCAGCATCCATGTCAACAGACATTGCCAGAAATTCGCCATATCAGCAATAAAAGCCTGAAATTGTGCACAGATGATAAAATTGCAAACATTAATGAAAGTGGTATATATTTTTGCCAGCTTTTGAAAGTGGTGCATATTATTGCAATTTTTGAAAAGGTCATAGTTTTATTTGCAATTAAGCCTATAATATACTTATGAGTTTTCATATATAGCTCAACATCGTCCTATGATAACATTGTATGATAACATTGTTGAATTTTTATCGCACTTTCTTTTGGCCAAAGTCTAACAATATTAGAATTCGCCTCAAGTATTTGGAATCAAAGTATCTCATTTCAAAACATTTTAATGTGAACTTTTTTTTCGAGGCATTTTACAAAAATATTTCTCCATAATTAATGTTGAAAAAATAATTATAATGTATAAAAAGAGCTATAATGCATAAAATACTTTATTAATATATAAAACTTCTAAGAGGCTACAACTTAAGTTATTAACCACATACAAATTATAGTAGATGGTATTTTTTTTTATAATTAAGAAGAAGCAATCAGTTAACTAGAAGAGTGCTAAAAATATAATAAGTGTGTAAATTTTTCTTTCAAGTTTAATTAAAAAAGGGTAAAATTACTTTCACCAAAATTAGTAAGAACCATGTTTTCTTTTCTCCATTACTTCTCTCTTTTCATTTCTTTTCTTTTTTTTTCTTTATGTAAGTATTATCATTATTTTTTATTTTAAATTTTTATTAATAGGGTGTTAAACTATTATTTGAGTTATAGTTGTACCTAATTCATAATATTTTTTATTTTTTCATGTAGCTCCTCCCCTGGATGAGGCTGCGACCGGGGTGCCGGCCATATTTTTTCTCCTCGCGTTCAACCATTTTTTCTTGCTGCTACCTGACTGGCTGACCACTCAATTTTTTTTTTTT